AGATTACATATGTGAGTTTTACTGTCAAATGTATAGTTTTTCTACAACACAACAAAATTTTTTTAATAAACTAGAGTTATAAAATGGGTAAATTAATAATTGTATTAATTGATGATAACTCGATTTTTATCTAGAGATTTACTTGTATAATTTTTTATTATTATGCCAATGTGATTGTCAAGTAACATTTTTGGATTTGTTCTCGTAGAGTATTTTTATTAATCAATCATCACTAGATAACATTAATTGATATTTAAAATTTTATTTTTAAAAATTGTGTAATTATATTTACATATATGGAAAAAAAATAACCAATTTAATGTCGTAAATAACATATACTACTACAAAACAACAAGCACTCACAAGAAGATATAACTTTATATTAGACAAATGAATCATATCAGTGAAAAATATTTTTTCTTCCACACGCATTACACAAATAGGAACCATACCTCTTCGTCTAACCATTAGAACAATTTTTGAATTTATACGCTATTTAAATTGATTCATTTGTAATTTGCCATATTTAAATCGTCCAATGCATATAAAAAAATATAGTTGATACCCAAATCGATTGTGAATGTCTTTTCATCTTAGTATTTTGTAGCAATGTTAACAAAGTTTCTATATTTCAATGTATGCAACACATAAAACTGCTTTCAGATATAGAAAATCAACGTTTCTATAGACACTTGTTAAATCGAAAAACTCACTACATGCACCACCCACTTCTAAGAAAAATATAGTTGGAAATTTTATTAGTTTTTTATATTTAAGTGCCATGAAATTTGTATTGTCTAAACAAATCTAAAATTCTTTACAAAAATCAAAATAATTTGGAACTTCATCAATAATAAAAAGATCAATACTTATGAATAATTTGAAAATAAATGAGTGGCGTTTTTTATTTTTCTTATGCTTTAAGTGAACAAAAAAACCAATACTCATGATTAAAAAAGTGTTCAATGGAAAAAAATTAAAACAAATATATATAGGCCAAACGTTTTTTTCCAAAAGACGGAACCTTTAAAAATAACCCTAAAGCGGTTATTTCGAAAAAATGCAACTTTTGACGAAACAATTATAACGAAAATATACAACTCTTGACAAAACGGTTATAATAAAAAGACGCAATTGACAAAGCGGTTTTATCGAAAAGACACAACTATTACAAATAACCATAAACCGATTTTTTCGAAAAGATGCAACCCTTGAAAATAACCGTAATGCGGTGTTTTGGGAAAACTCAACCCTAGAATAAACCTATAAATACAAGACGGTATTCCGAAGAAATACAATCTAAAAATATTCATTTGTTTGGTTGGCTATTATATATGGATTAGTTTATTAACGTAAAAGAAAATTAGATAATAGTAGATGAATTGTGTTTTTTTTTTTTTGGAGAGGCCCCTAGATGCAACTCTTAATGGTTTTAGTTTGATCATCTGGTTCAATAATTCATCAGAAACTATTTTTAAGGATTTTTTCGATCAAGTG